ACTGAGGATGATCACGTCCTTGGTGCGCACGTTGAAGAGACTCTTCAGGCTGCGAATGAAGTTCTTCATGTGACTGCCGACGAACTCCTGCACCGAGGTGGAGCGCACCTCAATGACCAGCGCATTCTCCAGCATCGCCTCCGTCAACTGAATCACCTCCACGTCGACCAGGCCGAAGGCGGTGAACTTGCCATCGGTGACGGTGACGTTCACCCGGTACTTGCCGGCGTCCAGCCCGGGCAGGGCGACCAGCGTTCCGTCGTTGGCGTCCACCGAGAAGACGTTCCGGTCGGCGTCGCTGGCCATGCTGTACGTCAGCCGGTCGAATCGGTCCTCATCGGAGGCGTTCACCTGGCCGATGGCGCCGCCGGGAAAGTGGTCCAGCGAGGCGACGGTGATGGAAAGTGGCTGCAGCTTGGGCGGCACCTGCGGCTCCTGAATCACCAGAACGGTAACCCAGGTGGTGGAGCTGAGTGGTGGGCTGCCCGAATCGGTGACCTGCACCGCCAGGCGGTACTCCGCCTGCGCTGAGTGGTTGAACAGCTGGTTGGTTCGCAGTGAGGTGTCGCTGTCCACCACTGAGAAGGCCTTCCCCTCGTTGCCCTCGGTGATGGCCAGCTTGAAGGGGCCGCTGTTCTGGGCGCTGTCCGCGTCGGAGATGGCAAAGATGAGCAGCGTGTAGCCGACCGGGCGGCCCTCCTGCAGGTGCACCGTCTGGTTGAGCCGGTCAAAGAGAGGTGCGTTGTCATTGTAGTCGGATATCTCCACGTTGATCAGCACCGAGGAGGAGAGCGCCCTCGGGTGGCCGTTGTCCGTGCAGAAGACCTCGAGGATGTAGGCGGACATCATCTCCCGGTCCAGTTNTTGATCAGCACCGAGGAGGAGAGCGCCCTCGGGTGGCCGTTGTCCGTGCAGAAGACCTCGAGGATGTAGGCGGACATCATCTCCCGGTCCAGTTGTCTGCCCACGGTGAGAATGCCCAGCACCGGGTCAATGTCGAACTCGCGGTAGGAGAGGCGGCGCGGCTCTCCGGCGAAAAAGTACGTCAGATTGGCGTTGGGCGGCGAGTCGAGGTCGATGGCCACTAGCTGCAGAATGCGGTCACCGACGTGGGCGTCCTCGCGAATGACAATCTCATAAGAGCGCTGGACAAACTGCGGCCTGACGTCGTTCACGTCGCCCACGGCCACTCGCAGGCTGACCTCACTGGACAGCGGCGGCACGCCCTCGTCCTCCGCCTTCACCGTGAGAAAGTACTCCTTGGTCGTCTCGTAGTCAACTGGCTTAGCCAGCGTCACCAGGCCCGACTTGAGGCCCATCGAGAAGGTGTCATTCTCATTGCCGGCCACGATCAGGTAGCGGATTTCCGCGTTGACGCCCGTGTCCTTGCTGGTGGCGAAGATCCGAACCACCTCTGAGCCGACGGGGGCGTTCTCTTCGATGGAGGCACTGTAGGCTTTCAGCTCAAACTCCGGCTCATTGTCGTTGATGTCGGTGACGTTCACCAGGAAGTAGGTGGTGCTGTTCAGCTGTGCGGCGCCGCTGTCGTAGGCCATGATGCTGATGTTGTACTGCGACCGGGTCTCACGGTCCAGCGACTTGGTCAGCCGGAGGATGCCGCTGAGCTCGTTGATGATAAACTCGCCTGACGGGTTGAGCAGCTCGTAGCGAACACGGCGATTCACTCCCTGGTCCAGGT